AAATAAATACATAAACATGTCAGATAATAATAGATTTATATGCATTGGGGATGCAAACCTCATGAGACATTAATAACTGGCCATACCCAAAGAAATTTTCAGGCATGCCTATAAACCAAATTCTCTTAAACCATCCTAAAGCTTCATATCTTAAAAAAAAGTTAAAAAACTACAATATTATGAGCATAGAACAATTCTTAAATGCAACCAATACAGAACTTTTAACATGGAATAATTTTTATCACAATATCAAAAAAATACCTTGAGGCCAATGGCCTTGCTAGTTTCACCTAATGCAAGATCTAATAATTGCATCTACAAATCCATCATTAACATTTTCATAATTAAATTCTTATATTCTAAGCAACTAGACATCTAACAAAAAAGGGTGAATAATTACAAAAGATATAACTTTCAGGAAAATATACAATCTTTTCAACAAAACTCTAAAAGTTTGACACTACATTCTACATCCTAATAACATGCTGATAGCATGTCAAGAATGTAAACTCAAAGACAGAACTTATTCATCTAAATATTGTTACTTTAAAGCAACAAAAACAATCTACAACCTTCAAGTAGATTGCAAAAAAAAAAATCCATATTGATTTAAATGATTTCAAAAGGCATTAGCCTTAATGCCAGTAGCAACACATCAGCTTTTTAACCAAAAAACATACTCAACCTTAGCTAGATCTCTTTTCTCCTTTACCAATCCTCTGATATCACTTTGGAACATTTTAACAGAGACCAACTTTAACAAGAAAAATATAACATTATACATAACTAGTGGCTAACAAAAAATAGAGAATAACTCTCATATAGTAACAAAGTGTCAACTCCAACATTTTAATACCAACTTTGGTTGCTTTACAAACCTTTGGTCCTCTTATTTAAACACCTTATTAACCTTGCTAACATTTGTATTAATCTTAATAAATCCTTATGCTAATATAAAAATTTATATCAACAATTCTTCACTAGTTAATTTAATTATACAATCTACCCAATTGCACAACTACCTTGCACTTGACAAACAACAATACATCTACCTTATTCTAGTATTAAAAGCAATAACATGTAACTATACAATTTTAGCAACCTTGAACAAAGAACTTCAGATTTAAGAAACTAAAAATATCTTTCAACTAAACTCTATATCACAAAAGTTTTTACATAATCAATTTGTCCCAAAACTTTTGGTAACCTTTGCACATATCTACTAAAAACTACAACAAAGCAAATACATCAAATTACAAATAGACTAGCTTGGTTTTATCAACAGCATATCTCGTATTGGCATACTCTACAAAATAATATCAACTGGTCATTATCTCTACAATATATTTTATATGAAGAAAAACCCTTGACTTTAACAACAAATCCTTTTTCTTCAGTACTAAAAAACTTTAAAATCAAACTATTATCAGAAGAACTAGTCACACATCTCTTGTTTCACTGAAGAGATGCTACTAAACAACCAAACTATCTCTGTTCAAGATACTATAATGCTTCAGAAACTATTGTATATCTTTTAGATTGCATTGGAAACCATTTATGTTTTACAACATTAATAATATAGGCAGTGTATAAAGCAGCAAACAATTTAGAAATACCTTGTTATGAGATAAATAATTTTATTCAAGCTTTTATTTCAAACCATGTTGACAAACAAATACCATTAGGTTTAATAGCTAGCAACACCTTGGCATCATTTGAAAATAACAAATACAAATACAAATATGATCCTCTTATACATCACAATATTATTTCTGCAATATACAAAGAATTTTGGCTTTCCTCTTGAATGATACAACATGACTCCTTGAGACCAACTCTATCACCTCTACAAACTCCAATACTAGCTAAAACTAAACCAATTTTACCTTCTATATTAAATGAAAAAATTCATTGTTATATTACTTGTGAACAATCTTCTTTTAGCTATCTTATCATAGACTAGAGGTCTATTGACCATTCTAGCAAAGAATAAATTGAGAATAAAGTAGCTCTTACTCCTATCTCCCCTAGCTTAGTTTCTTCTGCATGTATTTTATATATATAAATTGACTAATTAATAAAGAGATAAAAGATAGACCTCTCTTTTAATAACTAAAAAAAAACAATAAAATTAATTTAGTATCATTTATAATACCTCTGAATATTGTAATTCTTAAATCAAAAAAAGTACTAAGTAAAAATAAATATGTTCATCAAGTCGTTAATATATTTCTAAATAATTTTGAATATACAAAAAATAATATATTAAATTTAATATATAATAAGATATTTTATTTTTGTATAAAAGACTATAAGAATAAAAAACAATAAATATATAATATTCTAGAATAATGGCATATAAACAAACTAATATGTAGTATACTAATTTACAGATTTTCTAATTATAAACTTTTTGGACTTATTATGCAGTTTGGCACCAAGTTTTTGAATAAATTTAAGCAAATTGCTAATTATTGTATAATATTTCAAATGCTTGAACATATTTAAGTTGCAGTTAGAGTTGTGATTTATCTATATTATCAAGAAAAAAACATTTTAGTAAAAAATATTCTAAATAAAAACAATTTAATAAGAATATAATATATCTTTTATCAATAAATGAAATATTTAAAATTATATAAGCTTGATATTTGTATAACAAACTTTAACTTGCAAATGCATAGCTTAATTTTTATTTTCAATAACTAAAAAAAAGATATGCCAAGTTTGTAATATAATTTTTACCTGATCTTTAAAGCAAGTTACAATTTTTTTAAAACTTTCAAGCTATATTTTTAGTTAATATAATACAGGAAGAACATTATTTTTTCTTTGCTAAGGTCTTAGAAACATTTAGTATCCAATTTGTAAAGAAAAGCTTATCTTGTTAAACAACTGATTTAGAAAATCTAAAGCAAAATATTAAAGTAGTATAAATAAAATATAAATAACTCAATTTTCTAATTTTAGAATTTATTAATAATTAATTAATAAGCTAAAAGTTACAAATCATTAAGGATTATTGAAAAGCTCTTTGAATATTAGTTAATAAGCTTAAAACTGCATTTAATAATCTATGATCAGAATTTTATACATTATTTACAGAAATCATATAATTAACAAATATTAGCTATTACCAAATGTTTAGATGTTATTAAAGATTACTAAGCAAGATATTTATTGCACTGCTTCTTAAATAAAAACTAAAAAAGACAAAAAAGATTTGATATTTATAAGTGCAGCAAAAAAAAATATGAAAATATAATTAGATAATAAAAGTAGATGAAATAAGTAATAATTTAGTACAAACTTCAGATTCATATAGCATTAAAGTTAAAAAAACCGATGAAGGTTTACAACAAATGCCATTATCTAAAACAGATCTGTTTTCTGGCCTTACATTTTGAACATCTTGTATAATACACAAACCTGCACTTACTGAAAAAAATATCCTGACACAGCTTAAAAAATATGAAAACTCTACAGTATTATCTAAAGAAGTTGTTAACAAGTTAGTAGTAAAGTTATTTGAATTTACTAATTACTAAACACCAAAATGAATTTAAAATCGATAATATAACCAATATAAGAGATCAAATAAGTTTTTTTTGTTAGAATTTATGTAGTTATATAGTTTAAAAAAAAAAAAGTAAAGAATTTAATAAAATATAATTTTACCTTGAATGTTAATATTTTATAAATAAAAGCCTTGTAAAAATTGAAATCTATATAGTATAAACCAGTTTTTTAAAATTTCTCTGTATTTTATAACATACTATCCTTTCGAGAATGCATTTTACAGAAAGAACTTAATTATGTGCATTTAACAAACCCTTTTTCATATTAAAATCTTGAGAAATGAAGAAGAATCTTGTAAAAAAAGACAAAATGATTACCATCTTTGAAGGCATCGCATGTTATAGAAAACTATTAATTTTTTATATTCTTTATATTATTGTGTTCGTAGAAACTCAAGCATTAATTTTGTTTAAGAGATTTGAGTATTTTTACTAAAACTTTGGATGAAAAACCTAAAAATGTAAACTGTTGATTTGCGTAACTTGTAAAGATCATATATAAAATTTTTATGACATGCTGATCAACTGATAAGCAACTTTATATAAAGAAAATGAAATTTATTAAATTTAAAAAATTCTTTTTCTAATTTATAGTTACTAATTTACGATCGATCTATAGCTATATTGTTTATATGCTTAATAATTATATTTTATATTTCTTTTGCTAATAATGACACTTGAATAATATCGCAATTATTTTGGGCCCTTATATGTGATATTTTTTAAAAAATTAGGCCATTATTTTTAATTTGAACCTGTGTTCGTAATTATTTTCACTTTCCAGGCCTTATTTGTAAATTCCTCTAAAATAAAAATAAAAATACAAACTGCTACTCTATATAAAGTGAATTTACAATGTTTTATTTTTTCGATCTTTATTGAAAATTGTTTACAATGTCCTGCAAATTTACAATGAATCCATTCTAAAAATTATGAATTTCTTTTATATTAGTAACATTACATGATAAACGTACATTTCAGTAGAGTTAAAAAAATGCTTACCTGTAAAACTAATAAAGAATAAACGAACTCTTCTACTTCTTCAGCTGTTTCTTCGTCAAGAGGTATCTTCGCTTTAATAATAGGGAGATAATATTTTACCCCCTTTTCCTTTATCAATACATGTACTTACTCACGATATTAACAGCAAATCCTATATAATTTTATAAAAATGTTCTTTTGTACATTTCTTTACAAGCTCCTTATAATCGTGAAGAATCTTATCTTCGTTAGCACCTCATTTTCAACTCTTGAAGAATATAATTTCTTCCCATTTCTGACGAAGGCAAACACGAATCATAATATCAGGTTTATTGCCTCTCGATCTGGTCTGTTGTTGAATTTTCCAGTTCTTACTGGCTATACTTTGCCGTTCAGACCTGGTAACTTCAACATCAAAATCTACAAGTAAGTGATATATGATCATATCAATAAATGAGAGATGATCTCCACGAATGTGTTTTCGGAAACTCTTTGAAGCGCATTTAGTTTAATTTCTTGCAAAAGGACATCAGTAATTCCGCTTGCTATGTGTCCGCTAACATGATCAGCTTCAACCCATTGATCATGTGTCACAGTTTCCCTTGAGGACAACACGAATTTCTTCAATTTTTGAACCTCGTTTCTTTTTGGTATAAAATCATAGCAAACGTTTTTTACTGTAACATCTTTACCTAGATTTTTTATATCAGCTTTCTTTCCCTATTAAGATCAATATCTAATAAGTATTTGTCTTATACACGCAATTAATATATAAACTTTATCTTCACAAATTGAAATATAGATATTATATACGTACAATAAGAGATTTAAAATTATTTTCTGAAATAATATATTTATCAGAACTAAGATCAATGATTCCGATACATAATGGATCATCTTTTGATAATTTGGTTACATTTATATTGCTTAATCTTGTGAAAAGATGAACATGTACTGGCGTTACTTCATCCTAGTAGATTAAAAAGTATTTTCGTAGAGAAAGGATAAAATGATTAAAAGTTAATTTCATAGAATAAAAATCAAATTTGATAACTGATTACCTTGATTTTATCTTTAAGTATGATATACTATTTAATGCCAAAGTTTTCCAATCTACTTCTTGAATTTCCCTCGTAAGAACCCATATTTTTTAATGTTACTAACTCGTTTCTAATAAATAGTATCTATAAAAATAAAGATGGGTTCAGAAATAACCGACATTATGTCTAAAAAAGTCATCACATTATAATTACACTTGAAACTGGTGAGTTTATAAATTTATTGTATGTGTAAGCGCTTGATCTTGTTAAAAGGCTACAATATTTTTACAACAAAAGAAATGGCTTAAAAACTATTGATTCAGATTTTATACTAGACCGAAAGTCAGATAAAAGATAAAAAACTTAAAATGAAACACCTTCTACGAACACGGATAAACCATTTTCGACTAGTAATAAATTAAAATTAACTTTGATTAGTTAAAAATTTATGTTGTTTTTATGACTACCTAAAATTACAGTTTACGTATTTAATTGAGTATTAACAAAACCGGCTAAATTTATCTATCATACTGATCGTACCTCTCGAAGACATTTCAATTTTAATAAATCTCATTAAGAAACCATTTTTTTTCAGTAAAAATATTTGCCTTTGGAAATCAATCATAAGATTTCGGCACGAAAATCGATTGGCTAGGAGCACAAAATTATTTAGCTAATCCCCCGATCATTATATCAAGATCACGGGAGGATTAATTAATAATACGTACCCTGACCACATGTGAATAAGCGGAAACGAAGTTTCCGCCAATTCCCAACGGATCAGGATATTATTACTACCAGTTACTAATAAACACCGACAAGTTTAATTCACCGAAAAGTTTATAGCTTGCACTAACCTTAAACATAATGCTAGTATAATTACTTGAGTGTCGGTGAATTAATTGTTGGTGAGTTAAGTAATTACTTATTATGTAAAAAAACAAATCACATTATGCGACAATTTACTAATAATATATACTTACAACTAATAACATGCTAAATTGGCGCATAGTGTGATTTAACTTTTTACGTAATAAGTAATTACCTTGGTTGTGTCTACGAAATGAGTGTTGGTAAAATAAGCAGGAGCACTTTTGATTACGCATAAGTTATCTTGCTGATTAGTATTTAAGCAGTACTCATTACGATAAATCAATACAAAAACTGAAACTGAATTTTGGGTTGTCACATGATATGTGTGGAGGATTTTTATTGATAGATATATTAACCAAATAAAAATTTTGGATTCTGCTCTGCTGACTCGATCGGGATATGAAAACCGAAAATATAAGTTTGTATTTGTAAATTTGATATTAATTCGTATATTTTTTGATTATGCTGTATTATAATATAATATAAATTTATTAACCAATAAAATGCCAGTGTATAATCATGATCAATATGATTGGTCAATTTTATTGCACCAAAAATGTTTGCTTTACTGTTTTACAGATTTATAGTATATTTTATAAATAATAACTTGATAATAATTGTAAAAAAAATTGGATAATTTTTGCTGTTGAAAAAAATTAGTTGATTTTGTGAAACATATCAATATGTTGTAGTATGTGGATTTAACTTTGTATTACGATTTGGCACCAATAGTAAATAAGGCTGATCTTAATTATATATAATTCGTTTATTTTCAAATGCGCGTTATTTCGACTAATGACCCGGATTAAGGCAAAATTCGAAATTGCACCATTTCACGAAAATACGAAAAAAAATTCATTGAATTTAATTAAGAGATCATTGAGAAACCTCTAAAAGTTTAAAAAAAATCAATTTTAATCGGTGCATATCTCACTACTGGGATAGGCTGAATTTGTAAATTAAACCAGTTAAAAAGAGTGGCTTAAATTATACCATATCATTATAAATGGAATCTCGAACAGCACCCAATACATACCTACTTCATTTCATATAATGTAACTATTCTTGAAATTTAAAGATTAAGATTTTCGTTAAATCTAATAATCGATTTAATATATATATCGATATGATTTTATGTTCATAAAAATTGGAATATTAACAGTCCAGATTGTAAATGCATAAATGTTCTTTTTAACTATGCAGAAACTATGAACATAATATCATGCAGGAAAATCTACCTAAAAATCATATTATGTACATTGCATTGAAAATCTATACGTAGACGAAAGGACAAAAGCATACATTTAACATAGCAATAAAAAAGGACTATAACGTATTTGTAATAAGACCGAACTTACATTTATGTTAAATAAAGATTTTTACCATATATATGTTGATTGATTTACTAAATAGTTAAAGCTAGAATTTGATTATCAAAAGCTTTGTGTATACGACAATCATTTAAATAATTAAGATAATTGAAGATGATGAACAACGACAATTGATTGTCAGGAATTACGTAACATTGAAAGAATATATTTTATATAAAAACAAGCCATTTCGATTTAGTGAAATTTTTAATTAAAAATCAAATGTCGACTTTTTTTTTTGTTGAGAAACACATGTTTTTATTTCCGAATGGAGTCAAATAGTTGGTTAAACCCGAATATATATATTTATATAGCATATAAGTAACTTTTTTTTAGCATTAAGTGATTTTCTAAACTCTTGACTGTATGATGATATAATTTTTTGAAATAAACCTTATCATCTATAAGGGAACATTCGAATTTATGTTCCAGTTGTTCATTGTTAATGTTTACATGAACCTAATCTTGTGTAAAAAAAATTTAATCGGATACATATCAAACAATACTAGCATCAGTACATGTCGATATAACGCACGAGAATTTGAAATGTATGCGGTGTGACAGTAACCAAACGGCTATCACTATATATAAGACATTAATGGTTCATGTAGCCTATTTATGACTACTTTACTTTCGCTTTTCTGGTATCAGCAAAATCCATCCTTAGGTTCTACCTTACTCCGTCCTTTAAAGTTAACTTTATCTTTGTTGACGTCACGAAACAATTCTTATATAGTTTAACATACAGTGTTTGAATGTATGCTATCGTTTATCGTTTCACCAACTTCCGTTTTTTTTTTTTTTTTTTTTCTGTTCTAAAAAACAAAAGCTTATATCAATTTAATATTAAAGAAATTTGCAATTTTATTTTTTCATAGAAAAGATTAAATAAAATATATTTATCAAATAAAATTTTCATCTAGTAAGTTTTATTATTTTTTATTATATCATTAAATATTAATTTATTAAAAGTCAATTTTACAAATTTTACAAATTTTATTTAATCTTTTTTTATTTTATTTTTTTGGTTATTTTTTTTATAGAGTAAAACACGATAAAAAATATTTTGATACAAACAGTAACGGTAATAGTGATTAAGTACTGGTTATTTTAAGTGAGTTTTGAATGTTTTGACTATAATCTTGATAATTGCACAATAATAGTTATTTGTACTTAATGATCTGCACAATATGATTATTATACGAATATTTTAAGTCACGAGATATTTATTATCAGTTGGCTTAGGTGAGTCAAATCAGCCAAATAATTCTTTTTAAAGAAATGCTTTGGTTTTTTTTTTTCTAACATCTTTTTCTTCACATTTTTTATAGGTTGGATAACATAAACTTGTATCTGCACTTCAGTGCACGCAAGAATAGTTTATTTGAACTCCTTAAAAGACGCGCATACATTATCCGAATAAAGATAATTAAAAAATGTCACGTGGGGATTCCGGATATTATTGCTCTTTAAATAGCCCGAAATCAGAAACTGACGATAAAGATAGCTATGATGATTTGAATGATACCAGGGAGGATAACGAAGGCTACATAATTATGCGAAGTTCAATGCCATATTGGCCTAATGAACAAAAAAATGACAACTCTGTTGGTAATAATCGACACACATTTCACACTCTACCAAATTATACTACTATGGGAAATGACCCTCCACCACCTTTACCAACAACAAATCATCCACTCTTTCCTTCATTGCAACAACCACCTTCATGTGATATTAATCAATCAGAAACTGATACTCAAAAAAAATCACTAAATTCACCATTACTTAATGTTCCAAATGTTTCAACGTCTGATTCAATTGGAGATGAAGAACAATTTGTTAGAACTCTTCGACGAAAAGCTTCTTTACAATCTTTACAAAATAATAATCATCATGTATCGCCATCGGCATCTTATAGAGTAAAAGCTAAATTGCTACGTAATCGGCAGGTGACACTTATCGGTATTTCACCTTCAGATCAAAATTCATTACTTCCAGAAGATCCTTCAATACCTCCAGTACCTCCAATGCCTCCAATATCTCCAATGTCTCCAATGCCTACAAATGGTGTTATCAAAGTTACTGAATTAATTGATAGTTATTATGATGAGGATAATGAACCAAGTCCAACTCCTGAAGGTAATTGTTAAAAATATACCTTACATTATTAATGATTGTATTTTAAATAAAATAAATTTATTTATATTAACTATAATTTACTTATTAACTAAAATTCATAAAGAAATTGCAGCAAGAAACCGTAAACGTGAAGCTGCAGTTTCAGAAATTCTTACCACCGAAAGAAAATATGTCGATGGTTTAGAAAAACTTGTTAATTTCTTTTTACTTCCTTTACGGGAAATTTGTCAAAAAACAAGTCAAAAAAATGGTTTATTATCTATTAAACCTATCGCTAGTTTGGAAGATATTTCTGCATTATTCGGTAATATTGAACAATTATTGATTCTACACAAGTCATTGCTTAAATCTTTGGAAGATAGATATCGATCATGGAGTCCTGCAGAAAAGATTAGCGATATATTCTTACAAACTGTAAGATAATAATAAATTTTCCTCAAAAAATTTGTCTGTTAAATTATAATATTAACATTTTAACTTTAAATTTTAGGCTCCATTTTTAAAGATGTATATAATTTATCTTAAAAGTTTTCCACGAGCAATAGCGACAATGGAACGGCTTAATAAAACTAGTAAAGAATTTAAAAAATTTTTATTGGTATTTATTAATTTCTTTATTAAATATTTATCTTCTTTTTTTTTTTATTAATATTAATAAATTTTTAAATTTTACATGATAGTCATGTCAATCGAAACAAGAACTAGGTGGATTAACATTTAATTCATTTTTAAGTCTGCCGATTCAACGAATTCCACGATACAAATTGTTATTAGAAGCTTTGTTAAAGCATACAGATGAATCACATCCGGATTTTATAGACCTCCAAAAATGTGTTCGACAAATTAATATAATAGCAGATGAAGTTAACGAAAAGTATGTTATCTAATTCATAATATATAATTAAGAATTATTATTTAGAACTATTAAAAAATACATTAATAACAAATATAATTCAATTTTTGACAGAATGCGGGATGCTGAAAATCAACAAAAAGTATTAGAGATCCAAGTAAAAGTAGAAAATATACCAGACATAATAAACCCTACCCGACGATTCATACATAGTGGTGATCTTTACAAAGTTACACCTCTATTTACATCAACAAAACCTTACTTTTCATCCACTCAAGAAATACGATCACATTTTTTATTTAATGATTTATTATTATTTTGCTCAAATTCTCAAGGAGGGAAACTTACATACAGAGGTCAACTCGATTTAAATAATTGTTCGATCCTAGATATTGATGATGACGCGTCAGATATGCCATTTTGTTTTCAAATAATTACAAAAACGGCTAAAGGTGACGTAAGGCATACCGTTCGCACAAATACTGGTGAAGAGAAAGCTGAATGGATGGGAAAAATTCATTATGTAATATCATCTTTGCAAAATGGAATACAAACGTCTTATAATATTAATGGGAAACGTATGTTAATTTTAACCACAAAAAAAAAATCTGCTTCTATAATTTTCTTATTTTCTTTATTAATATTTTATTAATATTTTATTAATTTAATTAGGTCTTATTCCTATTCGTCAACAACCAATACTCGACAAAGCTCCTTCACAACTCGGCGTAACCTCGTTAACAAACCGACGTCCATCACACGCGTCAGATATGTATATATCATCAGACTTACTAAATATTGAGACACAAAGTGTAACGAACGTAGAATCGAAAAACGCTAAAGGAACTACTAAACAATTTAAACCACGATTAACATTAAAAACATTAAGACCACAGATGTCACATGATACATTGAAACCAAATTCGTATTCGTGATATTTTTGTGTATAATATTTTAAAAATCATTTTTCGGCATAGATGATTGTTACATGTTTAATAGATTATTATGTGTCATAATTATTATAGATTCATGTATTTAATTGTATGCGTGCATATTGTTATTTATATTTTACACTTTCAAACACTTGTATTTTATCTTATTATTTGTTTGCATGCATTCAATAAGAGTGTACCTACTTACATCAGAATAAATGCATTTCAAATCGTTACTTGCAAATGAAATTTGGTTTTAAAAAAATATATATATTTATTTATTCATTTATTAATTAAATAAAATTCAACTGTATTAAAACTTAATGAAATAAATTCACCTAACTGTATTAAAACTTAATGAAATAAATTCACCTAACTGTATTAAAACTTAATTAAATCTAAATTCAACTGTACTGTACGTATTAAAATTTTATTTATTAAATTTAATTTAATTATTTATAATAATATAATTAAAAATAAAATAAACTTAACTGTTTTA